CTCCCTTGTGGGAAAGGAAAGCATGACAAAGCCCTAAGAACATCTTCATAGGAAGCTAACTAACAAATATCTTCAAGAATGATGTTAAAAACACTCTTCAAAAAGTCTTTTTGCCACATGTTTTGTGCCAAGCAAATTAATTCTACTACCTAACTGGCCAGTAGCGTGAGAAAAAAAGCTGGCATTTTGGGACGCCACAGGGTGCAAAGAAAGTCAGTTTTACAGCCTGCCTTTTGGGCAAGCTGTAGCTAGTATGTACACAAGCCCTGGGTAGCCCACAAGTCATTTCAACTAGCCCCAAAACCCTTTTTGATTAGCAGGATTGATTTACAATTCATCTGTACTTTAAATTTCCCCAAAAAGCAGCACCTGCCCGTCGGAAAAGTTAAGAACAAAAATCAATAGCCCGAAAGCAAAATCCACTAACCTCGGGTTATCAGAAACAACTTTCTTTGCACGCTGCACCACCACTTGTTTATTGCAAAATGACGTGCGAGAAATGATTGCAGAAATTCCATACTGATGACGCACCACTATCCAGATCTGGATAGTGCTTCTGACTGGTGGTGCTAAATGGGAAATTTGCCTCAATCAACCAGAAGTACTACCTAGATCTGAGTAGTGACATGTCATCAGTATGGAAATTCTGCACTCGTTTCTCAGACGTCATTTCACGGGGAAACCAGTGGTGGCGTCGTGAAATGTGGGCTGTTTTCTAGGCCAGGGGCATTTCAAGCACGGTCAAACATGACTGTATTGTGCAGGCCCCATATTAAGCAAGAGGGGGCCATGTCACTGCATGCCTGAACTCAGGGAAATTTAAAAAAAGACCAGCATAGCCTGCACCACAGATGTAATCAAACCCCGGTTAGTGAGGTCTGCAAAGAAGCACCAAGACCCTTGTTCTGGGCCCTCAACGGCCCTCAACGTTTCAAATTTCCTTTCAACCTGTTTGGCAAACCAACAATGGCTTTTTAACAGGCCAAGCATGGTGCGTATTAAGGGGGGTGCACAGGCGGGGTCTCAGGACAAGGATTTCGGTGCTGTTTTGCAGACAAACTTAACCAGAGTTAAGTTTTGTCTTTGGTGCAGGCTAAAGCCAGCACAGTGTTAGACTTGTAAACAAAATTTTGGGCAAGTTTAGTTTTTTTTGGCCAGAAAGTGACCAAAAAATGGCTTGACTAGCTTCAAATGGGGTTTTAAAACAAAAATTTCCAGGGGTTGAATGAGATAAGCAGACAGTGGCGAGGGTCCCATTTATACAGTCGGGTTTTTCATGCACAACTAACCGCCATGAATAAAAATTACCGGTAGTTGCTAATTTTTCTAGTTGTTCTACCTACACAAGGAAATCACTTTCTACTACATTTAAATTTAGACTTCTTGGTCATTGGTTTCAAGTTTACTTTTCCACTTGCATCACTTAGTTCAATTTTCATTGACCCAAGATCAACTGATCTTGTAAGGAGGTTAATCATGGTCTTGAACATTTCTTCAATAGTGTTCACATCCAGTGCACTTGCTTCCATGTAGCTTAGGCCATTACTTTTGGCAATTTCATGGCCTTCCTCAGAGGAAACTACCCGTTTCTCTGCTTGATCTGTCTTGTTCCCAATTATGATAATCAATGCATTTCTTTCTGTGCAATAAGTCTTTGCTAAGTTAAGCCATCGAGGAATGTGGTCAAATGATGTCCGATTAGTTACATCGCAGACCAAGAAAATGCCATGGACACCACGGAAATACATAGCCTGCACAGAAAAGAACTGTTCTTGACCCGCAGTATCAACCACTTCCAAACGGACAAACTTGGAGCCATATTTGAAAGACTCTTGATCAATCTCTACCCCTAGAGTTGTGGTGCTAAAAAAAATATCGAAAAAAGGGTTCTTGAAACGATTGAATAAACACGATTTTCCAACTCCTCTGTCTCCGACAAAAAGCACCTTGAACTTGTAATCGTATGATGGTTGGCGTCCAACTTTCTCAATCTGAACTTCTTCATCTGCCTCATGCAAACTTGATCGTTTCACTACCTTCCATTTGTGCCTTTCAAGTTCTTCTTTAATGTCCTTGATGTCAGGTCTCAATGTACTGTCATTCTCTAAGCATCCTAACACCAGTTTTTTCAAGAAATGTTCCCCCATCTCAGTGATGTCTCTTTTGCGTCGGACATGTTCACTGATCATCTCACCATCTTAAAGGAATAAAAATTTTCATCTGATTTTTTAAATAATAACTTAAAACAGATTTATCTATCAAAATAATAGATTAAAAAAAATTAATGATTTACAGATCCCTTTATCCACTTTGCCACTTAGATCCTCAGCCAAATAAATAAACAGTCCACTGTTTTACAAGAGATATGTATCTCACATTACCCTTGCAAAACTCACTTTTTAGTAGTGCCACTCAAGTTAAGCCGGGTCAGGCGGGGTTAGGAACTGGATGGGTGACCTGTCATGAATATCCTATTATGAAGGCCTTTATTTTTTCCTTACTTCTTCTAAATATATATGAGTTATTGAGGTGGCCATGGGGCAACATATCATTGTAGCAGGGATTTGTAGGTAACCAGGAAGGGAACTTCACAATCAGACTGTTGCAACATTGTTCTGCAAAAAGGGTGCTTTGATGGGCAGTTTGTTCAGAGCAACTTACAAGTTCAAACTACAAATTGTATGGCAATACTGCAAATTTATTTTGCTCAATACTGCAACGGCTAGGAAAGGTATCTCTTACCTTTATCTTAAAGAGAAAAAAGGGTGTTAAAGAAGATTTCGTTGACTAATGATTTTTCAGAATGAACTTTTCAAACTCATTAATAATTCATACAGAAAACACAAAGGAAATGTGAGTGTTTGGAAATCAGATGAAAAACTGCTCATTTTTGCATCCTTCGTTTCTCTTTCTAAAATCATTTTGTTTGAATAGTAATATTGAGCATTCGACACAGTGTTTCATCATCAGATGAAACAACCTTTAAGTTTGTCAAAAATACTCCGCTGCGCGTCGTATTTCAACTCTCTTGTCAGTGTTTCATCTGGTGATAAAACACTGCACCTCCTGCTTGATATATTGCGTCAAATCAATAAATTTATGTAAGTTCTAAGTTGGGACTTCTCCATATCAAACTGTCTCTAATATTGTAACCAAGTTCTGTGATTAGAATAGAATTTCTAGCAAAAAAGAACACGCAGTCACCACTGCTCCTTTCCCTCCCTCTCTAGGGATCTGTATTCGGCAGATAGTACGACTTGTAGGGATACATGGATATGTACTTAACTGGAATTATAGCTTTAGGTATTGTAGAAAGCCTGCACAAAAGTACTTATTCAGTGAAAAGATACTTTTGAAAGAAACGACTTTGTGAAGAATGATTTGCATGCATCATAGTGCCTTGGTACTAATAACACTCAAATCTTTTCCTACCTGTGAGGACTAATACCGGTAAAGTTGTTCTCTTTGATTCTGTGATTCTGTGGTAGCCATGCAATCATCAAGTTATGAATGCGCTTGGGAGGTTTCTAAGCACTCAAGAAGCTAGAGTTGTTCTAGGGTACATCTCAAGCAACTGTGCTTGTTTTGTGCTTAAAGCAACCTCCTGTGTACATCGATAACTCATTATGTCTACCACTTCTTAAATGAGTTAGGCAGCCTTTTTAAATGCAACTTATGGAACAAAAAATGCTCGCATCAAAACATACCTAAGGTGATTGGAGTTAACGGCCACACACTTGGTTCATGTCCAACAATCATAGCCATAACCACCGCACCAAAAGAAAATATATCAACTTTAGGACCATACTTTGCATTTCCTACCACCTCAAACTGCTTCGTGACAGGGTATGTTTCAGGAGCTGTGTATAGTGGTGTTCCTGGAACATGGGTGGCATGCATTTCACAGCCTGCTTCAAATATTTTGGCCACCCCCAAATCTGCAACCTTGGCATTACCATGCTCTGTTAGCAATATATTTTTTGTTGCTAAGTCACGATGCACAACAGGACGCTCCAAGCCATGCATGTAATTAAGACCTTCGATTACGTCTAAAGCGATGCAAATCAGTTTCATTTCAGGGATTTTTGGCATGGTTGTGGACTCTCTAATGTACTTTTTCAGGTCACAGTGAAGTAATTCAGTGATTATTATGGGTGAGAGTCCTTTAGGAAATAAAACAGTGTGTAGTTTTACTACATTAGGGTGATCGAGAAGCTTTAGAACATTGCATTCTCGCCAAAATTGCTCTATATAGTGTTCTTGCAGGCAGGAGCTTTTTTGGAAGAATACAGAGTGAAACCTTTTCACTGCAACGTCACGTCCCTTCCACACAGCTTTATAGACTTTGCCATAAGACCCTTTGCCTATCTCCTTTTTCAGCACCAATTCTTTGACATGAGATTCCAGAGATTCTTTCTGTGCTCCTGCAACAACAACAACAACGACAGTTTATTTCTACTACTGAAGACAACTAAAAGAATTTACAAGAATATAATCATAAATAAATAAATAAACAGTACATACAGTAGNAATATTTTGGCCACCCCCAAATCTGCAACCTTGGCATTACCATGCTCTGTTAGCAATATATTTTTTGTTGCTAAGTCACGATGCACAACAGGACGCTCCAAGCCATGCATGTAATTAAGACCTTCGATTACGTCTAAAGCGATGCAAATCAGTTTCATTTCAGGGATTTTTGGCATGGTTGTGGACTCTCTAATGTACTTTTTCAGGTCACAGTGAAGTAATTCAGTGATTATTATGGGTGAGAGTCCTTTAGGAAATAAAACAGTGTGTAGTTTTACTACATTAGGGTGATCGAGAAGCTTTAGAACATTGCATTCTCGCCAAAATTGCTCTATATAGTGTTCTTGCAGGCAGGAGCTTTTTTGGAAGAATACAGAGTGAAACCTTTTCACTGCAACGTCACGTCCCTTCCACACAGCTTTATAGACTTTGCCATAAGACCCTTTGCCTATCTCCTTTTTCAGCACCAATTCTTTGACATGAGATTCCAGAGATTCTTTCTGTGCTCCTGCAACAACAACAACAACGACAGTTTATTTCTACTACTGAAGACAACTAAAAGAATTTACAAGAATATAATCATAAATAAATAAATAAACAGTACATACAGTAGTGGGACACCCAAAATAACTAAAAAGCTAAACTAGTTGGGTGACCGTAATTATGACAATTAAAAATGTGAAAGTCAGGAGAGAGGGCACAACAAATAGATTGGTACATATAAATATCATAAACTTGTTACAAAAGTAAATATATAGAACAAAACAAAACAAAATAAATATAAACAATCAAAATATCAGTAAAGATTAATAGAGACTTTTATAATGAAATGCGAAGTTAGTTCTTTTTCAAATTGATTGGAAGTACGACACTTGCATCTTTCACCGGGTTCATTCCATAATTTATTAAATTCGCCACAATTTGTTCGAATTTCAGGGGCGTTAAGCTTAACCATATGGTCTCAAAAACAAACACATATTTCGGCAGGTTAAAGGCTTGTTTAAAATAGAAAATAATATTAAAAAAAGCTTTTAAAACGTTCTTCTTTGAGCTGGTATTGGAATGTTTACAAGCACAAGGCGAGGAGCCTCCCCTTTCGTTGCGTAAATTTAGTGACGTTATCAACATTAACGACTTTGTGTTTGTGAATGTGTAAAATCGACAGCGATGAAAGTCGCTTATCTGTCATCGTATTACGTAGTAAAGTGTTTATTCTTTTCATCGCGATCGAGCTGAAACTGTGCTCAGCAGCGAACGCTGAAGGGTAAGTAAGAAGTGTCTTACTGCATAGAAAGCGGCCGATTCGGGTTTGATCAAGTACGTGTGTCCACAAGAGTCTCCGGAAAGGGGACATCAGGAGGCCTGATTGACCAGCGGAGCCTCGATCTCGTAATCTCTTGCTTAAAGGCAGTTTCCCAGTTGAGTGACATTACAGTTGTCTTTGGTAGACTTTTTGGACATTTATAAAGAAGAGAAAACTAAAAAATCATATAGCTTTTGAGTGAAAAACTTTCCAGATAAATCTTGAAAGTTGGGGTCGATTTACCTGAAACAGGGGCGACTTTCCCGCCGGAGCGAGTTCACCCCGGTTCCCTCTCATGGCTCTACATTTGTTTACATGGTACCACCACAAAATGTCATGCTGGCGCGAGTCACCCCAGCATGAGTTCACCCCTGTTGTCGTACCCGGAGCGAGAATTTCATATCCGATCTACAAAATCTTGCAAAGGTATCATGTAAACGCGAAATGACCACACATTTCGGTGTGAAATCGGTCTGCCGGTAGACTGGAACGGGTAGCGCATGCGTAATGTTTGCGATTCTGAATCTTACTTGTATTTTATCAAAATGAAGTGCATCTTCAAATAACGAGATATGACCCAGTCATAATGTAAAGGCGATACGAAATAAGAAAGTCATTCTGGTATGAAACTAGCGCCGGTGGGAGTTTTCTCGTGTAAACACCCCCTTTGTGGTGTGTTGCATGAATACGCAATGTATCGTGGAATCGCCTGAAGGCAAACATTTCAAGAATGTTTTGAATTAATCAACTGTTGTATTTTTTGTGTAAAAACTATGCAGAGTAACAGCGAGACAGACAGAGACAAATCTGCACAATACAAGTTCAAGTCACGACACTACAAATGGCTTTTCCTCATAACACAAAATCTTAGAAAAAAAATCCTACCAATTTCTAGAGTACGCACGTGCATATTTGCGTAAAGGACGCTACGCCCCTGATTTTTGGAAGATATAAAGTAAATCTAGATGCAAAGCGAGTACAGTGTATTTACATTATGATTACAAGATGTTTTAACAAAAAACGAATCAAAGATCTTTGGTAGTTTGCCAGTACTAAATTGGTACATAAAAAAGAGAGTTTGAAGCTTAATATGATCTTGAAGTTTAAGAAGGTTAAGTATAGCAAACACAGTGTGCATTGAAATTGGAGAAAGTAATTAAACGGATTGCTTTCCTTTGTATTATTTGAAGTGGTTTAATGTTATGGTCATAAGTGAGGAGAGAAAAGGAAGAATAATGGCATGGTATAATTGAACTAGTGTTTTCGTATCAACAAAATGTCTAATCATACACAGGACACCAATACCCCTAGATATTTTTTTTGAAATTTGTTGTATTTTTTCTTTCCAGTTGAGATGACCATCGACTGTTAATCTGTTTGGGAAGGACAATTTACTATGCTTAGAGCTAATAAGCTGCTCTAAATACCCCTCCATGTGACTTTTTCATTATAACATGGTACGTAAAGTATTCTTTATAATAGAGTTTTTTACTCACCATTAAAATATGCTTTAGTTTGTTCTTGTAAAGTTTATAGCGAGAGTGATTACTTTGAGACTTACTTGTTATATAATGCATAAATAGCTTATTTTTGGTTTTAATAGATTTACGAATACCCTGAGTAATCCAGAGTTTGGACTTAAATTTTGCTCCTCGTTTACTTAACGTTTTTAAAGCAGCATGTTTATCTATTGTAGCATTGACTACAGAGTAAAAGTAATCAAACACCTGATTGATGTCATTTTCCCAAAAAACATTATCCCACTGAATTGACTGAACATCTACTTAAAGTTATCCTGATCAAAGCAAGAATAATCACGAGCAAACCTGGTCATATTGCTTGCTGTCCAAGATAATTTATAGATAATCAAGAAATTTGGTAAATTATTTGTAAGGTCACAAACCAAATTTCCACTAGTAGCAACAAATTCATTAAAATTAAAGAAAATTTATCAATTAACGTTGCTGTGTGATCAGTGATTCTTGTTGGCTGCAGAATGTGTGGTAAGAAGTCATAAGAAATCACAGTACTAATGAATTCCTCAGTTGTCTGATAGTCTTCAAAGTTCAGAAGATTTATGTTTAAGTCACCCATGAATAAACACAACTTATTATTTTTTGAAAGTTTCTCTACAGTTGAAAAAAGATACTTGTTAAGTCCTCAGTTTTACCACTTGGGTGTCTATATATGACAGCGCACAGAATATTTTTATATGTATCACGATTAATCTCAATCCATTCAAACTCTTTTGTCATTGAACAAAGATCAACTCGAAGATGAAATTGAATCCCCTCTTAGCGACGAACACTACGGGCGCTTGCCAAAGTCGGAAGTGGCCGGCCAGACGGTCATTTTATTTAAAAACGAAATACTGAATTAAGTAATTTTTTTCATTTTTCGAGAGTCTGAAATATCCTTTTTTCTAATCATTTTGAAAGTATTCTGTCTTCATTTAGAATAACCAAGCGATCAGGAAAACAAGAATGGCTTCGCAGATGAGCGGTTGTGGTTTCTTGAGCATAGAGTAGAGTCGACGCTGTTTCGACACTTAGAAAACCCGTTTTCAGTCCAAACCAGACCAAATCCATACCCGTTTTCAGACCTGATCTTTACGCAGAATTATGTCATCATTACTTAAATTAGAGCGCAAACAAAAAAAATTCTTCAAATCCATTTCGAATTCGCATATTTCTCTTTCTTTCTTACTGATTTGGAGTTGAAAAGATAATTACGTTCATGCACTCCTGTAACTCCCTCGGAAACCATACTCGATTCTCGAGCAAAATAGGCAAAATTTATACCCGTTTTCGGACCAAAAAGTGCGCAAAAAGAAACCATACCCTTTGGGGCGACACATACCAAAACTGAACTATATGCATGGCTTATACAAGGGAGGGTACTTCCCGGAATTTACATGAAGCAATTTATTGTCGGTATCATCTAACTATCATCCTGCAATTTGCTTTGGTATGTTACTACTTGTCCCTTAGTAGCAATAAAAATGCTGCTTTGGAAGCGCATTCCCTTTCCAAGAAATTTTTTCCAACGTAACCTTTACCTGTGACGCTGGCCGATACTTAACTATTCGACAATGGCAGACTCACAGAACTAATGGAAATGTAAATATCTTTTTTACGTCATCCTCATAATTTTATTTTATAAACTAAATTAAGCTTAGGGTTGGTATGAAAAAGTTACACTGATCCTTTGTTGTGACTGAAAAACAAAGCTATGTGTCGTCAGGTCAAACTGTAAAGAAGACGCGTGTGAATGAAGTAATGCAATGGTTAGATCAATTCATAAGACGTAAAATAGCAAAGCGTGAATGAGAAAGAGGGATGTTCACTAACAAGGATGCAAAAATAAAGGATAAAAAAGACAATGAACTGAATGTGTAGACGTTTATTTTCCTATCTTTGGTGTGGAAACAAAACTAGATTTTAGGGTTAATTTAAAGTAAACGTACAGGCGTTGATTATATATTTACGTTTTGAATGATAACTCATTCGCTTTTTTTTTATCTTTTGAAATACTGAGGGACAAACATTCGAACTGTTACAGACAGCTGTTAAAAGAGGTTGGCAGGCTAAACACGACCTTCAAAGTTTAGCTCTAACAAGTATGTCCTTTAGAGACTTCTCTCTTCTGTATCTCATATTTCCCTTATAACAAACCCCCATTCAGCGGACACCTCTATTAAGCGGACACGGACACTAAAATAAATTGTATTTGGCTAATTTCTATTGTTAATAACCTCTATTAAGCAGACACCGGACTGAATTGACAATAGTAGTATTGGATTACGTCCTAGAAATATCTAGTACTGTAGTTGATTAATATAGATAAATCAATACGTTTAGCTCTCAATAAACTTTAGATTCGAGACCGAAAGTCTTGCACAAGGTATAGCTTCCTGAACAACTTAGAACTTTATCACAGTACAGAGTAACCGTTGAAACTTAATCGTTAACAAATATTGCGTAACTTTTACAAAACTCTATTAAGCGGACACCTGGGAAGGTCCCGAAGGTGTCCGCTTAATAGAGGTTTCGCCGTATTTTTATATTTTTTCGCGTGCAACCCTAAACGAGACCTTCACCGCTAAATATGATGGGTTTTGCCCAGAACACCCTAAGTGAGACCAAAATCGGAAATTTACACCCCTAAGCGAGACGACGAGCGTCCACACCCCTTTCCTATGCGGAGTTCCCCCCCGGGGGGCCAAGTTCAGCTTGATGACAGGCAAAACTACACGCCCCTCGAAGCACCAATGGCACAAGAGACCTCTCAAAAGGTCCAAGAAATATTAATGATCTCCACATTGACACAATGACCAAGAAATGGCTTTCACAAACACCTTGCCCACCGCGCATACCACTTTTCTACACACTAACAAAGATTCACAAACCAACCCTAAATGGAAGACCTATACTGCGACGGCCCAACAAAGCGAATATCATCATTCTTAGACCACATTCTTCAGCCGATCGCTAAAGCACAAAAATCCTACCTCAAAGATACCACACAATTTACTAACTTTATAGAGGAGAGAAAAGTTCCTGAAACGCGATCCTAGACTAAACACCGTATGCCAAACATAACGAACTTCTTCGGTAAACCGTTGTTTTCAATTTCCATAGAAGGCTCTGCAAAAACAAGCTTTGGTTACAATAATAATCGAATCTCTTTGAAACTTAAGGCTTAGTCAATTCCAGGTCATTCCTCCCAGGGACGAACATTTGTTGGGCATATATTAGGTTGCGTATTCCTGGGATAGAAGCTCAGCCTCCGGCGTTTTATTTCTCTCCCCGTTCCTATTTTTGGCTCGCTCTCGCGTTCCTCCCACGCTCCCACTTGGTTAAAAATAGACAGAAATGATTTCTACGCTGCTGTCTACAAAGATACCTTCATGGTCCGCAGTGATGCTCTCCATCCACTGAGAAGCGTTGTACTTTGTTTCGAAGGAGCTCCGATCCTTTGGAGAATCTTCTGTTGCAACAAAATGGAGAAAACATGCTATTGCGGGAATTATGCTTGTATAACTATAATCAAATATGTGATGTGCTGCAAATAAAGACTAGGAGCGAAAGGTATGACGACCGCTCTCCGCAGACCATTATGCTGAAATTACCTCAGCACTTACAACAGTTGTCATTGTAACCGGCCAAGATGGCAACATTTAGCTGGATTTTGCACTAAATGCTCTTTCACCTATATTAAATGTTTCGAAAAACAAAATTTTAAGCAGTTACTACCCATTTTATTTGTTCATTAAAATATTTGATACAGAAATAAAAATTGTTCATAAAACTTATATTAAGCCAAAATACATGTTCCCCCCAAAAAGCTCTCCTGAAGCTGCCCCACTCACCTGAGTTTTCCATGAAAGCTTTCTTACAAATTAAGTAGTTTTCTTCTTCTATAGTTGTCTTCATCCTGACATTGTCCATTCCGAGCTTTCTCTTGAGTTCATCAGTCACCAGGAACCTTTCAACGATGTCGTTAAGGTAACCAGAACAGTAACCATTCCACAGACTTTCAAGACTCTTCAGAGTGGGGCACTGCACAGTTATTATCAAAGATCCTGATTTCACCATCATTACGATCGCTTCAAAAGTCTTTTCGATAAACTTAGTAAGGCGGTCTACACTCGTATCAAATGGCAATGACGAAAGATCTTGGTGTCTTCGATACTTATTAACCAACTGTTCTAATTCCTCATTTAATATTCTTTGTTGTTCAACAGTTAAATCTTGGGTATTCGAAGAAATTAGAACTTTGATCAAGGCAGTGGTAACAACAGAGTCTGAAAATCAATAAGAGGAAAGTTACACGTTTTAAACTATAGCAAAGCATTCAGTATGCACAATAACTGAACACTTATTTATTTACCTACTTACAGAAATTTACGTGGCTAACATAATTTTTACTGTTACGTGAGAGGTTTCCTTCCTCAGGGAAGATGCACCCTCATGACTAGCTATATTGGAGGACATCTGCTTCTTTAAAAAATGATTACGTTCTCCTGACTTGAAGTACCTGAATTTAAGAGACGGCTCTCGTCAAGGTACTCATCATTATTGAATGTCTACTCAGGCGCCTCACCCATAGCCAAAGAGGTTTAAAAACCTCATCTCATCCACAAAGAGCCCCCACAAGGCAACTTAGTTAGGGCATTATCACAGATTCACAATATTAGCTGCAAACTTGAATGTCAATAGAATGTTAACGTTTATAGCAACTCAATGAAAGATACAATTTGCAAAATTGCAAAACCTGTTCGCAGATATTATTTTTGAAAATATTTGTCACTAAGATATGTTAAATGGCATAATGGAGACAGGACTTAAACCACATTAGGAGATCGTTCTTTTGTTGTTGCTGCTCCCAAACTTTGGCATTTGTTTTTTTTGCGACATGGAGAAGCCCGTCAGTTGTCATCTTTAAGAAGGCACTCAATACATTTCATTCCAGAAAGCCCTTACAATGTATCTAATAAGATGTAATTTTATTACTCGCTTTTAGTAGATTGCTGCTCCCAAACTTTGGCATTTGTTTTTTTTGCGACATGGAGAAGCCCGTCAGTTGTCATCTTTAAGAAGGCACTCAAGACATTTCATTCCAGAAAGCCCTTACAATGTATCTAATAAGATGTAATTTTATTACTCGCTTTTAGTAGGTTTTATGCAGTTTGCACAGTTAAAGTAACCAAAGTAATTTTTATAATTTTAGTGTTTGATATATTTTAATCTTTTGTATATTTATAAATTTATTTATTTACTATTTATTCAAAATCTTTTTTTTATAACCTCTGAAGAAAATGGCGACTATCAAGCGACTATTAATATCGGCACTATAAGTTTTACTATCATCAATAATACACTTCTTTATGGTACAAGCGTAAACGGTAACAAGTCCTGTTGGAAAACGTACCTTTGAATAATCTAACATTCACTTCCCCCTTTAGATACAGTAGTGTACTGATGAGCAATAGCAAGAAAAACAAGTCATGTTTTGCATACCTGGATTACAAGAGAATTCTGACATTTTACGCTTACGGCAATTTGGAGACTGATAGTCTGTATTCGTGGATATCTTAGTTGGATTTCCTGATGCAGCATCAGCTTTCATTACACAGTCACTACAACGGAACATTTCTGAAACAAGCTGCTCGTCGTGATAAGAGTTTGTTCTTTGGTTGTTGTCAAATTCTAGAGAAGGCTCTGTAAAAACAAGCTTTGGTTACAATTATAATCTCTTTAAAACCTAGGCTCAGTCAGTTCCAGGCCGTGCCTATTCCTCCCTGGGGCGGAAATATGTTGGGCATAATAATTGCAAAGAAAGCACAAAGGAGCAACTCTAAATTCATTAAAGATCAGTGAAATGTCTCTCACGATTCTCTCGTAGATGTATGTTCTTTGTCGGCGAGCTCATTTGGTGAAAAAAGCACTTTTCTAGGTATAATCATCCTCACATTCTTCGCATGTGCTCTAAGGCATTGTAGAGTGATGACAAGGCTACTATGCGACATTGAAATCTCACGCAAAACCCAGAACTATTGCCTCAAAAGTGTTTGCAATTTTAAAATGACTCGATTCTACTTAATTTTGCTTTGCAAACAACACAATTGGACTTTAGGCACTTATTCAATTGAGATATCTACCTGGAAATATGAAAACCGGGTTAGCAAACATTTTGTAATTTTTCTCAACTTCCCCTGTCTAATAGCTTGTTTGTTGTGTTGTTTGCTTATGTCGTTTTTTTGGCTTGTCTTGCGGTTAGGGATTTGTGTAGAAGTGGATGTAGACAGAATTACTATTTTACCCACCCCCCTCCCTCCTCCCTCCCTCCCTATGTTTTTTTGTCCCTACCCACAATTCTCTCTTTAACACAAGTGGCAGTTATTTAAAATCAGTGCGCGCCTAAAGCTGGTTTCGGTGCCCTTTAGCAGTTCACTTTTAGATACTGAACGCTTTGAGAAAAGTTTCCCGAAGAGCATCATGTAAAGCTCTGAGATGGGACGAAGTTATTACGATTCGCAGAGTCTGCATCGTCCAATATTGCACAGGGTCCAGAGGAGTTTCGTGTGAATAAATAAATTACTAACCTTGAAAAATGTCTATACCTGTCGCTTAGCACGATTAATTAGCCCAATGGGATCTTTATAAATCTACTGTAAACGATTTCTTCGCTTCTTATCTGACCCAGATCGACTTTTGAAAATCAATAACCGCAAGCCATATCCTCGCTGGCGCACGGCACGTCGCCCGGAGGGCGACCGAGGCACGAAGTGCCGAGTAAAAGAGAGGACAAGGGAGGAAACTTGTACCACGTGACTTCGTTCTATGTGAACCGCAGCACTCGGTGACGGAAGTCGGAATGAGAACGGAAACGCAAAAGCAACAGACCGCTGCTAATTCGAGAATCAAAACATCAGCTGCAGAGAGAGTTTTAAAGATCTCAGAGATCTATGCGAAAACAACAGAGTTTTAATTGAAGTGAAGATCTTTCAAGACTGGACATTTGTTGTACGTTTCAACAGTCTTCGATGTCTTAAGCAGGTTTTGCTTGTGCGAAGGCTTCCCAGTAGTCGCAAAACGCACAGCCAAAGACGCAAGAGGTAATATAGTTGGACCACGGAAGAATGGCACAGTCGTGATTATATTACAGTTGCCTTGTACGCCCGCTCTACTCAGTGTCACTTTTTATTGCAAGAGTACACACGACCCGTAAATCACTATCCGTAATAATTTAACATTCTTCAAACAAAACTAACAAGCTGGGCCCAGCGTGATACAGTATTAAAGAAAAACATTATATTCACGGACTAAAGAAAATCGCTTAGTTATTCAGATCCAGAAGGCACTTTGGAGAAAACTGGAACCCTTGTTCAGCCGTAATAAAAAGCTTTACGCTTCAAAAGAGGTCAAAGAAAATGCGCTTGCATTAGAGGGCAAATCCTGCCGACCAGAAACAATAACCACAGTAAATCGATATGTGTCATGACCTCTCAGTGTGAAACATGCGGCTAAAATCCCCGCTAAAATCACATTTACTGTAGAACCTTCCAGAGCATAATCTACCCAGCAGAGGAAAAAAACTTTATTGGAAAGAGCAGCATTTTGGCATGAGGCAAAAGTCGTGTAGACTTCCCTTTTATTGCTCCGATCTTGAACACATTTACTTTACTACGTCATTTCCGTCACCATGTGTTGCGGTGCACACCGAACGAAAGCGCTCTCTAGAAGCCGTAAATTTCGGTCGCCGAAAATGAATTTGAACGCTTTCTTATGCCGTTTTCCTACAGTATTTGGCAAATACATAAGAATTCTAGATCAGGTTAGTAAAATCAGGCGATTTCATTCAATTCCATTTGAGTTTCAGGGATTCGAAAATCGGCCCCAAATTTGTTTCCTCCCTTTCCGTATTTTATACTGGAAGCCGATCTTGCGGGCCCTCAGTCTCTTGGTTTGCGGTCTATAGAATGTGTAACGAAACCGTAACGCGATTAAAATAACCCATTTTTTCAGAGGTTTTCGACGGGTTTTGATGTTCTAACGACAAACACATCTCCTCTGGACCCTGTGATATTGTATTTTATTCTCGCAGTCATTTGGCTAAACGGATCAATCACTCAGATCCAGGCTGAGACAGAAAGGTATGATATTGTTCGCTTTTCTAAGGTGACCACCAATTCTCATGATCTTTGGCCTCGGGAACAGGTTGTTAGGAGTCAAATGAATAGGCCATTTCCGAGTTCCCGCGGGCCTCTGTTTCAAAACAAGGGTAGGTGCTCAGCGTTTGATATGGAAATCATTTTTCATTCTCATGCAATAAACCTCATTTTCACAAGAAAGGTTGTGCACCTAGCCTCATTTTGAAAGTGAGGGTTTTTGGAACTCGGAAGTGGCCTATTAGGTGAGACCAACACTGCAGGTGAACTTTGACCCAGGCCAAGACTTAGGTTTAGGCCGGTCTGCTGTCCATGTGATTGTACATCCGGAAACTTGAATACGACGAGTGTAAAAGAAAAGTCCAGAGGTGCATGTTTATCTGCCAATAGGCTGAGTTTTTACGAGTTATTCGATGATATCGCTTGTGTTAAACGTGAGAAGATTATACGTGGTTGTGGATAGTCTTTATATCAGTGCTGCGAAGGTGTGATTGTGTGATTTCCGCATGGTGTTACAGGTATGTGATCTCGTGGTTGAACTGCGACTCAGGAAAATTGGATCTAGGTCTAGTTTCGGCGGGCTCTAATGGCGTTGAACCATATAAGGCCGGTTTTCGCAGATAAGAAGGTGATAATTTGTGTGCTATGTTTCATTCAGTTTGTTGTCTATTCCATGCGAAACTCTTTCGTTTATCGGACCGCGGAAAAGGTACAATGTAGTGTTTTGTCAATTATTTAAAATGTTATGTAAGTTAAGGCACTCTTTCGCTGCAGTTCACTCAACTTAAAAATTTCTAGACTGAAATGACACCGGTTTGAAAAACCACGAAGTCAGATTACTGAATAAATGTTCTAAAATTTGCGCCATTTTAAATTTGGACTCGTTGGATCGGAATGCTTCTAGGGACCATTAACCTACTGCCCGGCGTCAGATAAAGGCTTTCAATCGGCCTTTGAATGAGTTTTATTGTTTTAAACTGGCAAGTAGTAGAATGAGTTGAAATTGTTTCTAACCTGGTTTTCAAAAAGACAGGTGTATGGTTGTGTATTCCTGGGATAGAAGCTCAGCGGCTGGCGTTTTATTTCTCTCCACGTCTCTATTTTTTGCTTGCTCTCGCCCCCCCCCCCCCACTTCTCACACTTGGTTAAAAATAGAGAGAAATGATTTCTACGTGTGCTGTCTACGAAGATACCTTCATGGTCGTCAGTCATGCTCTCCATCCACTGAGAAGTGTTGCACTTTGTTTCGAAGGAGCTCCGGGCCTTTGGGGAATCTTCTGTTGCAACAAAATGGAGAAAACATGCTATTACAGGGATTATGTGTGTATAACTATAATCATGAGAAGTGCTGCAGATAAAGACTATATCCGAAGGGTATGACTACCGCTCTCCACAGACCATTCTGCTGAAAACAATGTACGTGAAGAAATTACAAACGTTACAGTTTTGATATTTTCAGCATAATGTTCAGATAGGTATCCGCGAACATTTTTACCAAGACTCCAGGGCAAAACTTGTAAGCGATCCTATTTTTGTTTCTTTCAGTTTTCTCTCTATTGTTACCTGATAATGTAGCAAAGTTAGATTTATTGGGGGGGCCAATCACGAGTGCCGAAGGCTTGAGTTGCTACATGCTGGGGGGTCCGTGGGCATCTTCCGGGGGCACGCTCCCCCGGAAGATTTTAAAATATATAGGGTCTCTGAAATAGCATTTTCAGCCTTCCGAGAGCATTAATTTCCAGCAATTTTTAACTTTTGAAGCCATAAACAAATAACTTTCACGCTTTACCGAACCGAAGAGCAGCGAGAAGAGATTGGCCGTTGACCAAATTAAATGTGCCTGTCAAAATTATTGGGGGCCCCCCTCCCCATGCTACGGTACTGTAATGTGCCACTGAAGAAAAATATAGTATATATTCCTACCATGAGTCAGGCTGATCATCTTGTCAACTAACTCCTTTATCTGTCTGGCCCAGTTGTATTTCCTGCCATAGGAATCACGCAAGTTCACCGCTTCCTCAAGTCGACATTCCCTGTCCTTGTTCCAGATCTTTTGAATAGCTGCAGTCCACACTTTGGGGTCCTCTGACTCAATCACAAATGCTGAACCAAAAGCTGCACTGTGCAGTGCTTCTCCAAAGCCACAGTTGCGACTGACAAGCACAGGGAGACCAGCTGACATTGCCTCGAGTCCTGCTAAACCAAATCCCTCTGTTCTTGAAGGCATGACTACAAGATCCGCTTGTTGCAATAAGCGCTTTAAACTCTCTCGGTCTCGAACAAATCCTTTTACATTCAATCGACTTGCAGGAACACCATACTCCATTAACCGCTTCGCAATGTCTTCGTGTTTTCCATCCGGTGCCCCAACAAAAACAAGACGAGTATCTTGTAATGCAGCAATCGCTTTCCCAGCGATGTCAAATCCGTCTAATTCAAAATCTTCTACGTCTCCACGACCAAACACCATGACTCTGTGTTGTTGCCTATCGCTTCGGCTGACTTGCTTTACAGTCTGAAACTCTTCAAATACTCCAGGAGTGAGTTCAGAGACATAATCATCTTTATGACAACCAGAAAGATATGAGCGAAAGGCCTCGCTCAACTTGGGTCCAACTCCTACAACATGATCAGCCTTTTCACACAGTTCTACTTCGTCCTTGTGCTTTTCTTCACCTTTTGAAATTGGGCGGGAATAGTTTTTAAACATCCCAATTTCCTCAGGGTCTGTGTGCACCACTTGAACCCATTTGCACGTTTTAGATTTCTTAATAACCTGCGCTTGTTTACCAAGTTTAACTCCATGACCAACAACTATGTCGATTTCCAAATCGTCTGGTGGAAAGAAAAGCCAATCAAGCTGTTCAACACAAGAAAGTGGCGTTGCCTCTACGATCTTTACTTTGTGGTCAAGGGCCATGTTTTTGTCCTCTTGACTGCATTTTGGTAAAAAGAAGGTTATTTCCAGGTCAGAGAACTTGGCTAACTGAATGGCTAATTCTCTGTTAATGGTAGAAAGCCCCCCATTACTTGGTCCCCATTCAGATGCCAAAATAGTGACTTTCACTTTGCGAGATCCATGCACTTGGTCATCATGCATTTGAGCTTTCTGTAAAGGTGATGCCATGATCAAACATCAAAGTCGTCCAACATCTAAAATAGAAATTAATAGTAAAGCCTCAATTACAACTACTACAATGGACAATAGAGAAACTACTACAATGAGGAAAAATAGAGAATCAATTACAGCTACTACTGGAAAACGGAAAAACGTTTCACTAGGTGGTACCGATTGACTTCTATCGGTCTTAACAACCTTTCAGAACATGAAAAGTCATAATAATAATAATAATAATAATAATAATAATAATAATAATAATAATAATAATAATAATAATAATAATAATAATAATAATACTAATAATAATACTAATACTAATACCACTACTACTACTACTACTACTAATAATAACAATAATAATAATAAAAGGCCTGATTTTGGCCTCTTTGTCCTTTCGAGGGAAAACAATAGAAATGAGGAGGAGGGGGAGGAGGAAAAGAAGGAGGAGGAGGAGGAGGAGGGAAAACAATAGAAATGTGGCGGAGGTGGAGGTGGTGGCGGAGGGGAAACAATAGAAATGTGGCGGTGGTGGTGGTGGATAATAATAATAATAATAATAACATGTTTAAATAGGGTGACCAATTCAGTTATAAAAACTGCTATCAATATGAGTCCCGTATAGATTGTTTTCACTGTCACGCAACAAAAAATTAAATTGGAAACCGTCTAGTGGAAGAAACCAAGAAAATGAAATATTATAAAAGACTAATATATAAACAATTTGCCCAAGTCTCAGGTCTTTGTGGCCCATAGTTCTGAGTTATTTGGCGAAAAGTTTCACGCACCTTTGTAGAGCTTTGTATGGAGACGCCATACTTGAAGTGGTTATATTGCTGAAAATCAAGAGGAGATACTTTTTTTCAACGAGACAGCATTCCTATTTTGGTGTCACGCACTGTGAGAACTCGGAAGTTCAAATTGCTGTATTTTCGAAATGACACATGCTACGGAAATGTAAACTTGTACAAAGATTTACTTTTTGTTTATCTTCAACCTAGTGTAAAAAAGAATTCGTAAAACCTCGCTATTTTGACTTTACAATTTGATGAACCATCTATAAAAATAAATGAATAAATAGATAAAAACTTAACTATATACGAAACTGGGATACATTAGATAATTATAACCAATAAAAAAAGGTAGCCTCCTTATGAACAAAACTACATACAATCATTAAAAAGGGTCACGTAGCCCCCTTATAAAAAAAGGCTCTGTTAGTCAACTCGAGATTGACTTCATCAATAGATAACCTATCCTTAGACCTAGTGTCATAGTCATGAATATCTTAAGTTCGCCGTCGAAAATAATCAGAGAAATAACTTGGAGCTTGTCCATCAAGACAATTCTTGACAAGTTTGACGATATGTTTCTCTCTTGTCATCTTAAGAGGGTCCCAACCACGACCGGAAGCCATATCTTGAGTGGACAAATGCACCGTCTTTAGCACTATCCTAGCAGCACGACTTCGCAGGCGTTCCAATTCTTCTTCATTTCCTTTACCACAGCCATGAAAAACAGCACAACAGTATTCCAAATTTGGTAGTATCATCAATTTATACAATCGGTTCGATGCTTCAGTTGTTAATGATGATCTAATTCTTGAGAACATCCCCAGTGTTTTAGAAACTATCAATACGCAAATTAAAGGAAAGACTGCTGTCGAAAACTACGCCTAGGTATTTAAAGGCATCACAGTGTTTCACAGATTCTCCTCCCAACGTTATATGAGCCCCATCGATGTCTTGGCGGCATAGTCTCTGGTGGGTGCCAAAAACCATGAACTCAGTCTTTTTTAAATTCACAATCAGTTTATTTGTAGACAGCCACTCAGACAGATAAATCAGTTCCAAATTTAACTGTGACTCAAGTGGCAGATAACATGACCTGAAAATGCATTTTCTAACCGCTGGTGCTTTTTACTAGCCTGGGCTTTTCTAGAGGAAAGGGGAGATAGTGAAGAGAAGAAGAAGGCCTTTGTGTGTCAGGCCTTTCTCCCTGTTTTCTCGCCCCACTGTTTCGTCTTAATTTTCCCTTACCTCTTATAAATTATTAAGGCCCGAAACTCAGATTAGCGTGTGGGTGTGTATGTGTTCGGGGGAGCTTTGAAATATCGGTGAGGTCAAGGGGGGAGGGCGTAAAATCTGGGCGTAGAACTAGGGGCCTGATTACATGAACTGGGCTGGCTCATTTTGTAGAGATCTCGGCACCTTAGTTAAACGCAACAAAAATCAACTTTGCGGTGATATGACAACCGAGCCAGCCCAGTTAGCTTGGATCCCAGTAATCCCGGGTGGAAATTTTCCAAGTAATCACGCTTGCCTGGCGGCCCGGCGAACGAACCAATCGAGAAACAGGACAGCGGGTAACACACCGGCTCCTGCGCATTGTTTCCAACCTCTTTATAAAAATGGCGGCTCCAGGCTGACCCTTTTCATGTATTACCGGGATAAAAGCCACCTCGGCAGCCAGCCCGGCTCATGTGATCAGGCCCTTACTGTGAGTTGTATTGTCACGCAGTTTGCTCGTGAAAGCTTTGGGATTTGCCGCTTTTGTGGTTCGTGCATGAGAGAATATGACTTAATCTTACGGTGGCCCACAGGGGACATGCTGCAAATAAAAAAGTTGCTGCAAATTAAATAACGTTGCCGCAAATTAAATAACACTGCTGCAAATAAAAAATAATTGCAGCAAATAAAATAAATTGTTGCTGCAAATAAAAAGTAGTTGCTGCAAATAAAAAATAATTGCAGCAAATAAAATAAATTGTTGCTGCAAATAAAAGCAATTGCTGCAAACTAAGTGACAGGAAAGTATGCGCACACACTGATGGGAAGAGGAGGACTCAGTATAGTTGTATCCAGGGCCCACTCACGAAATGCTTGGCCTAATCCTCGGTGACAGAAAACTTATTTGAGTTCAATGGAAACAATTATCTTCAAACCCATGGAGTTGCATTGGGCATAAAAACAGCAGTGTCCTTTGCAAATATCTACAAGGCGGAGACTGAAACAAACCTAATCCAACATAGAGATACCAATGGAAACGTTTCATCAACTTGATGACGTTTCCTTTCTTTATTATTATTAAAGCAACTAACAAATCCCATCGCAAAAATTAAATCCACGGCCGAAATATGAAATAACGAAGTAACTTTCCTTGATACAATAGTTTTCAAAGGAGAACATCTCACAGAGAAATCCATCTTCATTGGACATAAATCCCACCATAAGCCAACTAAAACCTTTTAATATTCACACTTTACCTCGTTCCACCCTTCGGGGGTAAAAAGAAGTTTCATTAAAGGCGAAGAAATAAGATTGATTAGAAAAAACTCCTCAAAAAAAAAACAAACAACATTTGAAGAGTGCCTTGCGAACTCGAAGCACATGAATATCCTAAACCATGATGTAGAAAGGTCGTTGTCAGGGTTCAACCTTGACTCGAGACACTGATCGGGGCTAAAACAAATACAAAAAAAGAGAGAGACTATTGCCTTTCGTTGCAACATATAACCCAGCAGTAAAAGATCTTAAAAAGAAGTTGATGGCAAACTGGAGTCTACAGGTCTAATAAAAAATCAGCCTCTGCAGTGCTGAAAACAGTTTAAGGCCTGCGATCATGTCCTACAAAAGACATGCTTGAGTGCAAAAATGTAACTTGAAGGCAGTTAATAATTCAACGCAATCACAAAAACCGCACATTGGGAGTCCGTGCAGGTCTATATTTTACTTCCTTACAACTATACTGAGTCCTCCTCTTCCCATCAGCGCGTGCGCATACTTTCCTGTCACTTAATTTGCAGCAACTATTTTTTTTTATTTGCTGCAATTATTTTTTATTTGCAGCAACTTTATTTAATTTTAAACCAATTTTCTACTTCGCTGATCGCAAGTTTGTTTGCACACCGAAAGCCACAACTAATGGGCGTAAATACAGAATACAGGGCCAATTTAGTAAAAGCCAGGGTAAATGTTCCAATCACTTTGCTTCACATATACTAGTGTACATATATACTAGTTTGATGTGCTTCAGTAATGTTTCAAGTGTAATTACTTAAGTATAAACGAATCTAAAACTAAAGTGTTACCATTGGGTGACAATCTGCCATACTACGAATTGTTTGCTGACCGTAATGGGCCACCCTTAGAGGTGGTACACGATCTATATGAAGTTACTAGGTCTAACCATTGACAGGTCCCTATCTTTTAAAGCCCATACTAAATCTGTATGTAATAAGGTTAATGTTAAGGTTAGTGCTCTTAGGAGAGTTCGTAAATTCATACCTTCAGAAGTGATGGTTAATATTTACAAGGCCTTTATTTTGCCACACCTAGAGTACTCTGCTCCAGTCTTAGTTGGGTTATCATCTGGTCTTTCTAATAAACTGAAGCTTACTAATCAATACGCCATTAGAACTCTTTTGAACATGGCTAAGTCAACTTCAAATAGCGACCTTAACTTACCTATGTTGGACTAAAGACCCTAGAGCATTGTAGATATTCTCATGCTCTCTCCCTCTTTTACAAATGCTTATACAATATGGGGCTGAATAACATTAAGGAGATGTTCTTATTTTGTAATAATTAATGAATATGACCTCAGAGGCTTCTGCAAGCTTAATCAGCCTACCTATTACAGTACCTCAAGATTATGGAACAATCTACCTGACTATGTAAGGAAAGCTCCATCTCTTAACATTTTTAAGTCAATGCTGGATGAGGTCAACTTGACTACTGGAGTTGAGTGTAATTGTAACTTTTGTACATAGTTTGGATTCTATATAGCTCGCTTTCCTCTTAGTATTATTGATTTTCGCATATTTTTTATTTTTATATCTTCGTATAATTTTTATTTTTATTTTATCTATTTATTTATTTTATTTCATTTTATTATTGTTTTTATTTTTTTCCGTTTTGATATGTACTGGGTTTATAGTACCGTAATTTGGCAGGTTCACGTTAAAACGAGCCTTATACTCATCCGTGTAAAAAATTATGTGGATAAAT